AAAAAAAAAAAAAAAAAAAAGATTTGCTATCTTATTAAAGTGTACAGTTCAGTAGTGTTAAGTCTAGAACTTTTCTATCTTGCAACAGTGAAACGTCATACCTCCTAAATGCTAATTCCCCCTTAATAATTCCTACTTTTGATTATATCATTTATGCTAATGTGTGTCATGATTGCAGAAGGCTTTGGGATCTATTTCCCATTCTCTCTCTCTCTCTGTCTCTTTTTCTTTTAAGGGACAGATTTTGTTCTCTTGCCTAGGCTGGACAGCAACGACACTATCATAGCTCATTGCAGCCCCCAACTTCTGGGTTCAAATGATCCCGCCCCAGCCTTGAATTGCACTTGAATTGAAGAAAAACAGGCATTTAAAAATCAAGGTATACTTGTCTAAATCAAGAGAATGGTGCCTGAGCAACGTAGCAAGACCCATCTCTACTAAAAATAGAAAAATGAGCCAGCCATGGTGGCAAACACCTGTAGTCCCAGCTACTCTGGAAGCAGAAGCAGGAGGATCACTAGTGCCCAGAAGTTTGAGGTTACTGTGAGCTAGGCTCAGGCCATGGTGTTCTGGCCCAGATAATAGAGCAAGACTCTGTCTCAAAAAAGAACTGTAGTAGTAAAGTCCTCTTAAGATGTTAAGGGAAATTTATTAATTGTCTTTTTTTTTTTTCCTAAAAACGTTAAATGCTGTCTGTGCCACTCATATTTTATTCTCTCCTCTCTCTTTCTCTTTCTCAGTATCTTCCTCCTGGTCTCCCTTCCTTTCATTCTCTCTATTAGTATATCCATTTGGTGGGATGAAACATTAAAAAAACAAAAATTATTTCAGATGGATATTATATTGTGTGTGAAAATAGTTGTAGGAAGGAAATTGAAAGAGATATTCTGTTCTCAATAACATAACAGTTTCAGTATTATTATAGCTCTTGCTACAAGTTTTGTTCCCCCCCTTCCACTGGCATGAATTCATAGATGGAAAATTCTAGTTTATATTAATATTTTAAAATTGAGTAAATATATTTAATTTCAGACATAAAGAACTCAGATCTTTGGAATGTAGCTCATTGTGCTACATTGTTAATTGAGAATTATCTATAATGGACATCTCCTAGGCACTTCCTGGTGGCCGCTCTTGATGTTTGTGTTTCAAGATGTCTATAAATACTCTATCCTTAGCTTTTGAAGAAGGAGAACAACAGATTGCTCTGTTACATGGGTCTGGATTTTGACTCTTTGCCGCATCACGTGCCTACTTCAGAGCAGGGAGGTGCAGGACAAAATGCAGGACTTGCCTATGGAAACCCATATTCTGGTAAGACAACTTTGCTGTTCCAACTGGAAGACCCCTGCCTGCATCCCTTTCCCCCACTAAATTTTTTTTCCCTGAAATGCTAATTAAAACCAGTCTCATTGTTAAGACTTGCTGGGCAGAAGCTGAAGACCCAATAGAAAGATTGCCAGGCGAGAAGTGTTAATTGAGAAATAAATCTGAATCCAGAAGACGCAAATCAGATCATTCGCCTGGAGGCAGCAGACACAAATTGAGTCCCGAGGCTATAGTCCAAATGTATAAATCAGAGAAATGTCTTTATGGAGAAGATATACACATACAAAGCTCAGGAAGCTAATTAAGGCTTAAAAATGGAAGCACGAGGGGCAGGTTATGCTGCTGAGAAACTGGTGGTCCTGGCAGCCACTACAATGGCCTGACCCAGAGTAGCAGGAGCAGGCTCCATCCTGGGTGGTAGGAAGGAAATGGGGGAGAAACCACGCTCATCACTCAGGGGCTTTTGTGGTACCATGTTCTTGCCAAACAGGGAGCTTTTCTCTTTTGTCTCCAAAAGCCATATGAGATCTCATTTGCTTTCTTAAAACAGTTTAAAGCAGTAAAATTATCTTAAAAATCACAACCAGATGTTTGCAATAGGCAGGGGAATAAGTTTTTTTTCTCCTTTAAAAATATGTGTTTAAGTGTTTAATTTGAAAAATAACTGTTT